TAACAGATTTTTTTTGCGACGCTTTGTCCCAGTTTATCCTACACCGTCGAAACTGACGATTGATAGAGACTTAGCACTATGTCGACAATACCCGCCACAACCCATATCCGGACCAAATGATCAGCCAATAAATCCTTCAATGGATCCTGGTTATGAGTACAGTCAAGGGAAGACAACAAGCTCAACATTGCCGCCTGCGACGACAGATACATCGCAATGGAAGTCATCAAATCTTATGACGACCGTCCCTCGTATCCACAGAGTCAATAGACCTCCAGCTACAGATGTGCACAGAACAACTGCTACCACAGTCAGCGAGCCGGTGGAGCCAACTACCAACGCATCAGTCCCTCTCATGCCACCACTCACACTTACCACACAACGAGATAACACATCACCAAGCCATTCAGTGCAGACTACACCACCGCGCAAGTCGAGTCGCGCAACAAAAAAGCCTGCGTGGCATAGTGACTTTAATATGTAGGTGTCTTATCACGACACACGTCTTATGAATCTGATAAGACCGCGGTTCGTTTCGAATTTCGTAATTATTTACTGACTTCGTTATTATTTCTGTGTTTGTATTGTTTTGCTTAAGTGTTCTGCCTAGTCAAGGCTCTAGTCAATGCAATTTTAAACATATGATACAATTCCTTTTCAAAACAGCCTTTGTTTTATTATATTACAAAAGACTCGAAGGGGGATACATGATTATTGTTTATTGACAATGATAATTACATAGTTACTTCCCTTTATAGTCGAGGCATTTTAGAGTTACTCCCCTTGGATGGAGACTCGCCATTTGTACTATAAATGGAGTCATTTGAGGAAACACTTACATTAGCCTGTTTAAGGCATATTATTTGTAAGTAATCATTGATACTCAGTTATTATGTTACTACATTGACTACATTTACTTATTATTCATTAATGAACTGTGTCAATTATTATTTTGTCTCGTGTCCAATGTTAATTATGTTTATCATCGGAACAACACATCGTTTGGTAAATATCTGAGTATTTCTCATTTATGTATTTCAGACTGTGTTCATTGTTGATCTTAATAAAGACATACAAAAAGACCACGTTCTTATAGTTATGATACAAACATTTCTGCTAAATGGTTTATTTCAAGTTAGAACAATTACATATTTTTGACAAGGTAAAGTCAAAATCCTTTTTGACGGTATTTGGAAAATGGTTGTTTTTCATTTCTTGGAGTTGTGCGTAAAACTTCTGAATTGATGTATCACAGCATTTTGAGGAGTATAGATTAATTTCAAATTAAATCATCTGTGAATTGTGTAAATCATAAACCATGCCGCTACCCATAAGATATAATTGTACCAAGCAAGGTTACAGCGAATCCTATAGCAAAGTTTACCCTTTTGTATCTCGAACGATGAACGGAGAACATTGTTATAGATTTGGTAGTAATACAGCATGACAAACCTTAATAGCACTACATCATACAGCTGATCCGTCCTACATCATACAGCTGATCCGTCCTACATCTTACAGCTGAATCGTCCTACATCATACAGTTGATTCCTCCTACATCATACAGCTGATACGTCCTACATCATACAGCTGATACGTCCTACGCCATACAGCTGATCCTTCCTATATCATGCATTCGTCCTACATCATACAGTTGATTCGCCCTACATCATACAGCTGATCTAGCCTACATCATAGAGCTGATCCGTCCTACATCATACAGCTGATCCTTCCTATATCATACAGCTGATTCGTCCTACATCATACAGTTGATTCCTCCTACATCATACAGCTGATTCAACCTACATCATACAGCTGATCTGGCCTTCATCATACAGCTGATTCGTGCTACATCATACAGCTGATTCGTGCTACATCATACAGCTGATTCAACCTACATCATACAGCTGATACGTCTTACATCATACAGCTGATACGCCCTACATCATACAGCTAATTTAGCCTACATCATAGAGCTGATCCGTCCTACATCTTACAGCTGAACCGTCCTACATCATACAGTTGATTCGCCCCACATCATACAGCTGATACGCCCTACATCATACAGCTAATCCTTCCTATATCATACAGCTGATTCATCCTACATCATATAGCTGATTCGTCATCCATCATACATCTGATTCGTTCTACATCATACAGCTCATTCGTCCTATATCATACAGCTGATACGTCCTACATCATACATCTGATCCTTCCTATATCATACAGATGATTCGTCCTACAACATACAGCTGATTCTTCCTACATTATACAGCTGATTCGTCCTACATCATACAGCTGATCCGTCCTACATCTTACAGCTGAATCGTCCTACATCATACAGTTGATTCCTCATACATCATACAGCTGACACATCCTACATCATACAGCTGATACGTCTTACGCCATACAGCTGATCCTTCCTATATCATACATTCGTCCTACATCATACAGTTGATTCGCCCTACATCATACAGCTGATCTAGCCTACATCATAGAGCTGATCCGTCCTACATCATACAGCCGATCCTTCCTATATCATACAGCTGATTCGTCCTACAACATACAGCTTATTCGTCCTACATCATACAGCTGATTCGTCCTACATCATACAGCTTACCCTTTTGTATCTCGAACGATGAACGGAGAACATTGTTATAGATTTGGTAGTAATACAGCATGACAAACCTTAATAGCACTACATCATACAGCTGATCCGTCCTACATCTTACAGCTGAATCGTCCTACATCATACAGTTGATTCGCCCTCCATCAGACAGCAGATCTAGCCTACATCATAGAGCTGATCCGTCCTACATCATACAGCTGATCCTTCCTATATCACACAGCTGATTCGTCCTACATCATACAGCTTCCCGTCCTACATCATACAGCTGATTCGCCCTACATCATCCAACTGATCTGGCCTTCACCTAACAGCTTTATCGTCCTACATCATACAGCTGATTCTTCCTACATTATACAGCTTATTCGTCCTACATCATACAGCTGATTCTTCCTACATTATACAGCTTATTCGTCCTACATCATACAGCTGATTCGCCCTACATCATCCAACTGATCTGGCCTTCACCTAACAGCTTTATCGTCCTACATCATACAGCTGATTCGCCCTGCATCATACATATTATACGTCCTACATCACACAGCTGATTCGTCCTACATCGCACATCTGATACGTCCTACATCATACAACTGAATTGCCCTACTTCATACAACTGATACGTCCGACATCATATAGCTGATTCGTCATCCATCATACATCTGATTCGTTCTACATCATACAGCTCATTCGTCCTACATCATACGGCTGATACGTCCCACATCATACATCTGAGCCTTCCTATATCATACAGATGATTCGCCCTACATCATACAGCTGTTCTAGCCTACATCATAGAGCTGATCCGTCCTACATCATACAGCTGATCCTTCCTATATCATGCAGCTGATTCGTCCTACAACATACAGCTTATTCGTCCTACATCATACAGCTGATTATTCCTACATTATACAGCTGATTCGTCCTACATCATACATATGATACGTCCTACATCATACAACTGAATTGTCCTACTTCATACAACTGATACGTCCGACATCATATAGCTGATTCGTCATCCATCATACATCTGATTCGTTCTACATCATACAGCTCATTCGTCCTACATCATACAGCTGATACGTCCCACATCATACATCTGATCCTTCCTATATCATACAGATGATTCGTCCTACATCATACAGCTGATTCTTCCTACATTATACAGCTGATTCGTCCTACATCATACAGCCGATTCGTCCTACATCATACAGCTGATCTGGCCTTCATCATACAGCTGATTCGTCCTACATCATACATCTGATCCTTCCTATATCATACATTCGTCCTACATCATACAGCTGATTCGCCCTACATCATACAACTGATATGGCCTTCACCTAACAGCTGTATCGTATATTGTTGATATACGGATAATCAGGCGGGAAATAGAAATATTGATATACAACAGATAAAGGACGGATTCGTATCATGCATAAAATATGTGATATAAGCTGCTGTTGATACAAACTTTGAACGTTTAAGTAAACACATATAAATACAGTAAAAATAAGGACATTAATAATAACTGTGTATTATGTGTATTATTGATAGCAACTTAATATTGTCTTGGTAACGCGCAGCTGCATAAAACGGATGATAGGTCAGAGACATTTTGTCTGAAACATCAAAGGTTAAATTCTAGTAGCGGGCGGAAATTTGTTATGGTCTTTTGCTAGACACGTAACGGGTAAACTAGATTTAAACTGCCTTGAACGAAGTTTCATATGTGTGTGTGTGTTATCTTTATGCAATAGTGCTCCGTTAAAATGCAGACCGTAACACAGAGCATTCTTTGAGTATACTAGTGATGTATTACACCTACCATATCTCCTTTATCGTTTATAACTCAGAAATATTTCATACTTCAACCATATAAACAACTGGTAATTCAGCATGTGATGGGCGTATTATGTACCGCTTTGCAGTGCCCTTGTTTATATTCTTGTTTAAAGTTTAACGTCATCTTAGCAGCGATGAGCATATGAGACCGCATGTCTAGGTAGGTAGAAAACCGGTTTTCTCAATGTCCCCAAAACACAAGACAAGGAAGAAGCCACCCCGATATGCAAGGGTTGGGGAGAGGATGAGGGGAGCTCCTATTTTAGTAACCCCTGAGGATCATGCAGTGAGATACAACAAGCTTATTATCTTCCCGAACCTGATATTTCTAGCGCTATACATATGTTGTACAATTAGAATGATTTAATATTAACCAATTTTAAAGTATCTAACATAAAATATACAAAATAATTACTTATACTAATTATTATACATTTAGCATGTTCGAAATAGTTTATACCTTTGAGTTCATAATTCATCATACATAATGATGATATAAAGATTATGAAAATTATGAAAGAAACACAGTTCGCAATGCACATGTGCATATTTATTTATAACAACACAGCGACAATGAATTAGCTATCAAAATACATAAATAAATTAAATAGACACATTATATAAACGATTCAGAATTGCAGCTCATCACATTGCACAAATGTGTTTCAATGCTTGCAAACTTGTTGAATTATCATATGTGATTCAACTGCTATAGAACTGTGTAAGCATCCATTCATAAATCATAAAAAACGCATCGCACAGTCATTTCTTAGACTATTGGTTTAACAAAAGAATTTTTTTTACTTTTATAAACCACTTAATTCCGTTTAGATTTTAAAATGTTTTAGATAATTTTGATTTGTGGGAGATATATTGAAATGAGTTTGCTGATTACTCCAAAAATATCCCGCAATATAATGTATAATTTTGATATGAAGAATAAATAAAAATTGATCTATAATCAAATAAAGAAACACAGTCATTTTCGTAACACCAGACTGTAAAACGTAAACATTGAACGATGTCATCCGTCATTTCGTTCAAAGGGTGATGTATTTGGTATATTTATCAGGATGACACACTTTGTGTTTGAAATATCCCAATCATGCACTCAGAAACAGCTTGGCTAGGATTCCACACATCAGTATAAGGGGAGATAAACCGTGTCCGATGGATCCAGTGCCTGAAGAAAGAAACGCATATATTAGAACCAGATAAACATGTTGACCTTTTACCTTTCATATGCTTTTTCTAAACGATCGGCTGCTATATAACGTATCATTTGAATAACGTCATCATTGATAAAGAGGCCGTTTATATTTCAACTGAGTTTTCTCATAAGTTTTGGCCGTATTGTCTATTTAAGAAATGTGTATCAACCGAACTTCATTTTGATGGATGTTTTTTTTTTTTTTTTTTTTTTTTTAAAGCCATTGTTCAATTATCCTGACGTTATTACATACAAATATATATAAATGCGAACATCTTTAAGCAAGTACACCTAATGTGTTATTAAGTTCTGATGTAATCCAATCATTATTTTAAGGAGAGAGAAAATCGTGTGTACCAATACTCATAAATCTTTATTTTGTTAATTCACTTTTCAAATGTGATCTTCTCATGTAGTATAACTGTTTGTTTGCTGTGTTATCCAAATGGTATTACTATTACATTAACCAACACCATTTTACAAAGGAGTCTTACCTGACTTTGGTGTTGTGCTGTTTTTTCCATCGCTACCTAATAAACAGTAAGACAATAAATTGTTTTTTTATAAGAATATCTCCATATAATATTACAATGCGAAAACGGTTTGAAAAAAAATGATATTATAGATCACAAAATGGAGATTTAATGTAGCTATATTTTACGTTCTGCTGTGATAAAAGTTGCAACCATTGATTTTGGTGGTAATGAACAATACATTTTTTATCGCAAATTAGACGATGATACCCCTCCAGGTGATACCCCGTCTTAAATTTTTCATCTGTCGTTATACAAATTGCTTTGATGCTGTTTGATTCCTGAAATAACGGATAACATTGTTTACGCGTAAGTAATTCAAACGTAGGTAAAGTACTAAAAATAACATATGTATTTGAGTACTCTAACGGGATACTTTAAAGCTATCACGAAATTGAAATATTTTTTTTCGAATTAATAGGTGAAAAAAACAGCTACATTTGTACCTGTAGTAGAACAAGATCGGGATATCTCACTATCGGGCTGTGATACATCTCCACATTGTCTTACGCTTCGTTCGGGTTTTTGTTACAGAATCTAAATCTTCGACTGCGAAAACTTAATATCGCTCTTTAACATGTATTTGATTTTTTTTCAATTTATTCACGTCTTGATATCTGCATGCACTGGTTTTCATTAACAAATACCAAGATATGTTCAGGGATGTTAATATTTTGTTCCTTTATTATCATGCATTAGTATAGATGTAACGTTATGTAAGCATTTCTACCGTTTTATGCGTTTTGGGTTTTCTATTTTATTTGTCCATAACTTGAAATAATAAAAAAAACAATCGAAGATACCTTGAGATAAACTAGTATTGGCAAGTGTCTTTATATCGTCATATCAGGAGAGTAGGATTTTTTTGAGATTTTTAAAGATAGTTTTGAGATTTTGTTACTCGTAATTTCAAATCAATATATCATAATAAGTACATATGAACTTGTGGAAGAGACAACTGGAATGGAGACTTTCTGCTTATGGAAATTAACGTTTACCTCTATATATGCACACATTAGTACACTGTATAGTTATATACACGACACATTAGGAAATAATTTAACGGTATATCTAAGTATGGTTCACATGACGTTTTCGTACAAAAAGGATTCACCAGTGTTAACAAAAAGCAAACAATTGTTCCGACACATATGTAGAATACAATGATCAGGAAAAATATTCTCATAAAACCCTTGATAACGCTACACATTACATTTTGAGGACACTTGAAATAAATTACACTGTAACGAGAATTTTACATAACTAGTAAGCTTTTTGTTTGTTTGTTTGTCTGATTTTGTTTAACGTCCTATTAACAGCTAGGGTCATTTAAGGACGGCCTCCCCTGTATGCAAGATGCATGCGTGTAGTGTATGTGTGTGTATCTTGGGAGGCTGCGATATGTTCGCGTTTGTCTCCTTGTGATGGCGCGGAACTGATGCCGACTTTACAGTGCTACCTCACTGAAATATTGAACCAATTAAACGTTGCTTACATACGTGTATGTACCGCCAATACTTTATATCTCTACCAGTATATATTATCTGTATTTGATGGTTGACTATGTGTTCCGGAGCTCCCTCCTCATGATGGAGTGTAAATAAACCAAGTCAACAAAAGTCTACATGTAACATTACATTATATGAAATAACCTTATGACAAAGGCTTATAAATAACAAGCAAATACTAATCGTTTTAATAGGGCTATACTTGTATGATGTGTATAGACTAGTTATATTTTCCCCCCTTATCTTTCGTCATTCATTACTGTGTTGATTGTTTTTGGTTATGTGATTAAAATGATTCGTTAGCAGACATTGTTTCAAAAATATATTTTTAAGTTTAAATCCTAAACTGAGCCTTTCAAAACTAATTAAATACAAAAAAGTTACGCCGATATCAACGACTGATAGTTTCAACAGAATCAAACAATCACTAAAAATACGAAGAAGCAAATAAACGGTGCTTACACATGTACCGCCAATACTATATCTTTCTATCAGTATAAATTACCTGTATTTGATGGTTGACTATGTGTTCCGGAGCTCCCTCCTCCTGGTGGAGAGTACATAAAACGAAGTCAACAAGAGTCTACATGTAACATTACATTATATGAAATAACTTTATGACAAAGGCTTATAAATAACAAGCAAATACTAATCGTTTTAATAGGGTCTCGTGACGGGAACAGGCCAGCTTTTTTGTTCTTACATTGTGTCATTTCATATTGTTTTGATTGAATTTGGTTATGTGTTCTAAAAAGTGTATAGCAGAAAATGTTTCGATCACATATTTACACATTTTTTTTATTCTAAACTCAGCGTTTAAAAAACAATTCCAGGCACAAAGCTTCGGCCGATATCAGGGAATATCACTAGAAATACGAAGAAGCAACTAAATGTTGCTTACACATGTACTGCCAATAATTATCTTTCTACCAGTATATATTACCTGTATTTGATGGTTAGCTCTGTGTTCCGGAGCTCCCACCTCCTGGTGGAGAGTAAATAAAACTAAGTCAACAAAAGTCTACATGTAGCATAACATTGTGTAAAATAATCTTATGACTAAGGCTTATAAATGACAAGCAAATACCAATCGTTTTAATAGGGCTATGCATGTATGATGTGTATAGACTAGTTATATGTCCCCCCTTATCTTTCGTCATTATTATTGTGTTGGTTGTTTTTGGTACTGAGAATAAAATGATTCGATAGCAGACATTTAAAAAAAACATATTTTTATGTTTTAATCCTATACTAAGCCTTTCAAAACTAATTAAATACAAAAAGTTACGCCGATATCAAGGACTGATACTTTTTTAACAGAGTCAAACAATCACTAAAATACGATGGAACAATCAAACGGTGCTTACACATGTACCGCCAATACTATATCTTTCTACCCGTATATATTACCCGTATTTGATGGTTGGCTCTGTGTTCCGGAGCTCCCTCCTCCTGCTGGAGAGTACATAAAACTAAGTCAACAAGAGTCTACATGTAACATTACATTATATGAAATAACTTTATGACAAAGGCTTATAAATAACAAGCAACTACTAATCGTTTTAATAGGGTCTCGTGACGGGAACAGGCCAGCTTTTTTATTCTACCTTTTGTCATTTCATATTGTTTTGATTGAATTTGGTTTTGTGATCTAAAAAGTGTATAGCAGAAAATGTTTCGATCACATATTTACACATTTTTTATTCTAAGCTCAGCGTTTAAAAACCAATTCCAGGCACAAAGCTACGGCTACTACCAGTATATATTACCTGTATTTGATGGTTGGCTCTGTGTTCCGGAGCTCCCTCCTCCTGGTGGAGAGTAAATACAACTAAGTCAACAAAAGTCTACATGTAGCATAACATTGTGTAAAATAATCTTATGACTAAGGCTTATAAATGACAAGCAAATACTAATCGTTTTAATAGGGCTATACTTGTATGATGTGTATAGACTAGTTATGTGTTTCCCCCTTATCTTTCGTCATAAATGTTTGTGTTGGTTGTTTCTGGTACTGTTAATACAATGATTCGATAACAGACATTTAAAAAAAAACTTATTTTTACGTTTTAATCCTATACTTAGCCTTTCAAAACTAATTAAATACAAAACGTTACGCCGATATCAACGACTGATAGTTTCAACAGAATCAAACAATCACTAAAAATACGAAGAAGCAAATAAACGGTGCTTACACATGTACCGCCAATACTATATCTTTCTACCAGTATATATTACCTGTATTTGATGGTTGGCTCTGTGTTCCGGAGCTCCCTCCTCCTGGTGGAGAGTAAATAAAACTAAGTCAACAAAAGTCTACATGTAGCATAACATTGTGTAAACTAAACTTATGACTAAGGGTTATAAATGACAAGCAGATACTAATCGTTTTAATAGGGCTATACATGTATAATGTGTATAGACTAGTTATGAGTTTCCCCCTTATCTTTCGTCATTCATTTTTGTGTTGGTTGTTTTTGGTACTGTGAATAAAATGATTCAATAGCAGACATTTAAAAAAAAAAAAAAATACGTTTTAATCCTATACTTAGCCTTTCAAAACTGATTTTAATACTATATCTTTCTACCAGTATATATTACCTGTATTTGATGGCTGGCTATGTGTTCCGGAGCTCCCTCCTCCTGCTGGAGAGTACATAAAACTAAGTCAACAAGAGTCTACATGTAGCATAACATTATGTAAAATAATCTGATGACTAAGGCTAATAGGGACTAATGACGGGTACAGACTGGCTATATGCTCTTTCTTACCTTGCGTCAATCATTATTGTTTTGTTTTTGGTCAAGCTATTAATACAATTCTATAGCGAAAATGTTTCGATCTCATATTTTTACTTTTTTTTATTCTTAACCCTGCGTTTAACATCGTTGTATAAGCATAATATTTTGCAATCATATTGTCGTGAAATTAGTTAGAAAATTAATCAACCCCAGTTTTGTGGGGTTTCTTTTTTTGTTATTATTTTTTTCAAAAACGATAGTGTAATGTATAACATATATAGGTTCATTGGCGTAAATGCTATTTTAATCATTGGAAATCCATTTGGTGGGTGTGGGGTGAAATTGATTTCATAAATTTTTGTTACAACGCAGATATTTCTTACCTTCTTCGGTCATGTCAACAAAAATAATTGAAAAATAGCAGACGACGCAAGTGTTAGTTATTAACAAATCAAAGTATTTCAGTTATATGATGAAAAGGATTTTTCACTCGTTTCCATCTGATATGAGATGGGTACTCATGTACAATCCTATATATTTAACCATGCATCCAATTTATACGAATTACAGCAAAATGAAGCGATTAAATCAATTGTTTACTGAAGTTTCACATTGAATTATTGATTCTGTTGTTGTTTAGCTGTCCAATTGAATATGTCTATGTCATGCGACATTTAAAGCTCCTATTGAAATCAGTTAAATACTAGGTGAGTGATATTTAGGCTTTCATATCAATATTGAGTCTTCTATTGCCGCCTTTGGAAAAAAAGTAAAGCATACGTTTGATAGCATTACATTGATAAAATTTCGAAACATATAGGTTTATTTTGTAATATGAAGTTCATACTAACCGCCAAAAACTCCAGCAACTGTGATACACAGAAAACACAGGAAAACAAGGATGCTCTTCATCCTGCAAGGCAATATAAAACCAAATACGTTTGTAAATAACAGCCATAAACACAATTGTATGTATATGCATCTGCTAAAATGACACGTTTCGACAAATACATCAAAAGTTTTAAATATGAAATATATAATTTTCAAATACCTATTTTCATCGAATTATGAGGTTGCAAACTTACTTTTATACTGACAAATAGATGTCTACAAATATCAAATTTTCTTGGAAATATAATGTAATTACATAATTATATAATGTAAATAATAACGAATAGAAGTGCAAGTAGTAATGGCACGGATTTGACTTATAACTAGCGTTTGCTTGTATCCAAAATCATTAAAAATTTGCCGCTATAAATGAATCGCCATTTATCTTAATGGATCAGTTGCTGATGATGATTAACAAAACTGTTCATTGGCATAACATACAAATATATTTCAATTATGATATTTAAATATTTTGTATGAATACATTGAGCATATGCTTTAGCGGAAAGTTAGAAAATGTGCAGTAATAACGATAACAAATTAACAAGGAAATGTCACGTTGAGGCACGTCGTTAAAAGATTAAAGCTATTAGTAGTCAATAAAACAAAACAAAACAAAACAAACAAAAAAAAACTAGTTCAAACCACTTCGCCCTTTGTATTACGATTTAAACCACATGAGTCATATACGAAATATGTATTGGTATATGGCTACGAAACGTACTCGGGGACCTTATGTGTGGGCAAGCACCAGGTACGGTACTTATTACAATGAGTGATGAGTTAAGGAAGATAGATAGTACATGTATCTAATTAATTAAATTGGATTGTTTGGACAGGTTTACAAACGCTATTTCAAGTCACATTCGCAGTAAGTTCAGTGGAAGATCATATAACCTTGAGCGCTTAACCTGTTGAAAGTTAATCAAAAAGTTAAATTAAATTGTTTTGTCAGCTAGCAAATCTATGTTTTATACAAAATGGAATGCTGGTACCCGCATTCGAAAAATGAAACCAGTCCCGTGACCCGCTTGTTTAGAGGTGTTTTTGAAGAGGGAGCTGGCGATGAGTGGAGATTTGGGAACCTTTTTTTTACTTTTTAAATATGCATGGACTATGAAGCAAAACTTGTGTGTGCAAGAGTTTGGGGTATTTACTCAGTGTAACAAGTCAATTGGGGAAGCTGTTTAGTTATTTTTAGAGTTGTTGTACAAACTTATTCGAATCTTTGTTGAACAGAGTAGACAAGAACGGTGCACTTTCTCATATATTTCAATACACGCTGAATAGGTCAAAACTATTGTATATTCGCTAATTTCTTACAAACAAACTAACATGTTAGTGATTTCAAGTTAAATGAAATCTAATCCGACATTAGAATGGGGAAACTTAAAGTGGTCATTTTTATATTCGTATCCCGATTCCTGCCGACATCTAAAGCACTATTTCAATGAGATAATATTTTCAAATGTCATGTTATTCAAATCTGTCCGTGACAGTGACAGTTTGATTAGTACTAGAAATAAGTTAGTTTTTCACATACACATGTTGATATATAATCCCGTGGTATTAAACTTTAACGCCCGGTGCTTTTACTTTTCACTTGACATGTATCTAGATAATAGGACATATCTGAATGATCGTTGATGTACGATTCGGTATGTATTTTACTACATTACAGGTTTTGCTATTTTTTAGTTATCTGGGCTACGTATAGCTCAAAGACTAGTGCGATGAATCTAACGTCTTGTCAAAGTTTAGCCTATAGTCGCAGTTGTGGTTTTTGTATTCGTGGTAGTATATTGTGATGCCTGATTGAAAGTATGTTTAATTTGTTTTCAAAATTTACTTTGTGTAAATTGGGACGCCTATTTACAACATGTGTTACAACATTATGCCGTCTGTCAGATGGGACTGGTGGGATATTAAAGGGACATACCGTTAAACAAATATGCACTATCAAGTACGCGTCTTTTCCATCCCCATATTCATAGTCCTTTCTAAATGTCCGTTTTGACCTCTCAATTTCTACGATAAAGCCCGGATAAGGTCACGTGACGGTTTTGATATAAAGCTGTTAACACAGGTGATCTGACTGAGTTGCCAAGTTTGCAAAGGGGACCCTAGAGAGGGTAGCTTCTCACTGCACTATGGAATCAAGGTATAAGATTAAAAGTCCGTGTTGAAACTTATATAATCTTCTTAGAAAAAAATTCTTTCGTTGTTAAATGGTACTTCCAATACCTTATCCGATGGTATATAGCAATTACACAAGTGCGATGCGTTTTTCTTGCAAATTACTTTTTTACTCATTATTTGACATTATATTTTAACTTTATAAGTTTTAAAGTTTTCGCTTATGTTACAGGATAAGCATGATACAGGTCGGGTTCAATCAAATAATTACACTTTAAATATTTCTAGGTATCCACCTTTTTTCACTGTGTATGCCCACTTCTCTCCCGTACCCCCCTCATCTTTTTTTTGCAAAATATATAAGTACTGAAAGCCTGAGTGACGACTGTCACACGATCTAAAAGGGATTATTGTACATTAATTTTCAATACTAATTTGACCAAAATTTAGAATGGGGCATAATGGGGAGATGAGAATCCCATTTTTTTTTTATAAATTAGGAATGTGACTTTTGTTAATTACTTCAGTTGGACCGTAAAAAAGGGCTGTTTCAGTCATGCCACCATTCGTTTCCGAACCTGTTTTCAGGTTGGTAAGTAAGGATTCCAGAAGGTTCATATAGCACAATCAGTTAATCAAGTGTTTATGTGTGAAATTTTGATTACTAGCGCGGTATGTATGCTAACACCTTCATCAGACAAATAATCAGTTAAACGTACATGTATATACACAGATATGGAAAATATGCCTGAGTTGACAATTACAATCGCCGTTAACTATGCTACGCTACACATGTGTGTACACTTGTTGTACAGTAATATTAATCAAATCGACAAATTGATTAGCCTACACTATGCCCGGTGATAGATATTTGAGAGTCTTTTGATCCCATCATCTCGATTGGTGTTTTAGTGATTAAAACTTGATGGATTGATATTGAATGTCACCAGGAAAAAGATGCAATATCATATTGATGTATCAATGGATGTTGATTATGAAAAGGAGGGATTGGATTAGATAGTCGCATTTTGCATATTTAACCTACAAAAAAATGCCTCTCTACAGTAGTCGTACAAAGTCTAACCAAGTTCAGCAACAACACCACATACGGGTGTCTGTTACACTCGTCGATACAGAAAAGGTCATTAACTCTGTGAAAATCTTTGAGATTTTTGAGACGATTATAAACTGAACAAACAGATTTCCCAGCATGAGAGAAATTCTGAAAAAAGGTGATAACTCGATTGATCGTTGAATCCCAAAGTGAAAGCACCACTTTGTCATAATATTGATGCCTGCATGTCCAGACAAGATTTAAAAGCTGGTAATTATAATACAATCATACTTATAAAAAAATCTTCTAACCTTAATGCTGAAAGTGAAAGCATAATAACACGTCATAGTAATAAATCATACCTAGTCATGCTGAATCATCGAGGGTGATACTTATCAATATCAATATCGCCCAGTGTGTGTTTGGTTTTAATGCTTCGTAGTAATCACCATGTTGTTAAAGATTCACTACGCCAAATGTTACATTTAATTGGTTTGACCTATATTTTGATGTCGCCTATTGTCGATAAAGCAGAAGAAGATGTTTACGTTTTCAAAGAAACTGATTATTCTCGTTGTGAATTTTCAATGGTTTTCTCTTCTTGAAGATATTCTGTTTAGTATACGATTTCCTTATCTTTATTGTTTTTTAATAATTGACTTTTACCAAAATTGTGTTGGGCTATTGGTGTTCAAATTTATGAGGTGACTTTGCATAATCCATTCCAATTATTGTTTTAGTGTTGATCTAATAAATCAAATTGACCGTTATTCGAGGTACGTAGGGTCAAATCTATAAGAGTCTAAAACAAGTCTTCGCAGCAAACATTACACCTCAGGTTATGTTGTTTGAGCTGTAGGAAAATGCGATTATTGGCTATTAATAGTATTTGAATAAATAACTTCGACCGTCTTTCAAGGTCACAAAGGAAACATTTGTTGAAAACAAACATTCGTCTGAAGAACCATACATCATAGGGTCATGCTATTTAAATAAAGTGTAGCTAGAAGTTTATCGATTTTTAAATTTTGAATACAGGGTTTTAATTAAAGGTCACAGGTTTAAAGCAGTGTTATCTTTTAAATAGTAGCTAATCTTATGACAAACTATAATGGTTGTGCACATAATAACCTTTGCATAGTTTCGTAGCCACAGAGTTAATATAGGTTAAGAAATTGAGATCTATTTTTCAAGAATTGTACGTCCAAGGGGATATTTGAAATTCCATATTCAATAATAACTTGATAACCAATATAATGACAAAGATTGAATTAGGCTTTGTTTATTTCCCGGCGAAAACTTGCTATACAAGCTGTACATTTTGTGTCTGTTAGCCATGCCAAAAAATAATTTGTCGCATTTTGCTTATGTGTATGATCTCGCTGTGAATAGAGCATTATATGCATTCCAATTCTCCAAAACTGAAACTATGTATCGCATGTCACTGGTAGGCTCTGGGGGCATTTTTTAAATGAATTATGTAAGGATGATTAAGGTCATAGGAGGGTATTGATAAATGGAAATAGGGAGACAGTATCACAATTCCCGCATATTTTAATGTTTAATATCAAACTGATTAATATTGTATGGTTATTATTGACAGAACAGTGTGTTCTTTCAATATTGAAATATTTAAAAGCAGTCCAGGCATTAATTCAGTGGGTTTTTAATCAATGAGTCACATGTGTCCATTTTTCTGTACTTCAGGAAACCGGCTACGTATTTCATTACTGTGATTTTTTTCAAGAACGATAATTCTTACATGCAATTACTATGTGCATATGGTTTTATTATAAAATGTAAATTTTTAATCGTTTATAGATAATTAATCTTACACAAGTTCAGCATTGATGAAATTAATATACATTAATGCAATACTTATCTATGTCAGTATAATTTGTATTGACATTATTTTGCAAAAAGTTGTGTTTCATATTTTTTTTCAAAATTCACTCCTTTTTACATAAATCTCCATTTAAAATCCATTAAATTCAGACAACCAATATTTTTTTTATTTTTTTGTGGCAGAATATTTTTTTTTACTTCAAAGCAATATAACTTCAAAATTTGAAGAAATTCTTCTAAGAAATGGTGACACCATCCTATTACCTAAAGTGGTAAAAATGATGCGTCGGGTCATGCGTTTTGACTGCAGCAAATATATATTATGTAATCCATTATTAAGCAAACGTGTACCACAAAAGTGTAATGTGTTACATAAGTGATGTATAAATGCTTCAAATATGCCTCGCCACCATCGACCATCGTAGATATCAGCCTCCTCATCAGCGCGCAGAAAACGGGGGAGAAGGATAGAAAATGTGTGTTATCGGCATTATCAGCTTAACATGTAGCTTCTGTTTTGATAACGACAGCAGGTATTTTCATAATTTTGTTTTTTTGTCATCAAGTGGAAGCAGATCTGCATGCTAGCACACCGTAAGAGTAGGCTGGAGGACCTACATTGGTTTGCCTGGCATTTTATTGGGCCAGGTATGCCGTGCATGCTAATATGTAAATAGTCGATTGAAGCAGTGATTCGTGTGAAAAAATACCCCTCAACACATAGCCTCTAAGAGAGATATGTCTGCTTGTGTCGTGTAAACTATCATTTTTATTATAATGATAGTGTAAACTACAAATCATGAGTAAAACGAGTTTCTAGCTGTTCTTACAAAGCAAAATACATACTTATATAGTGCCGGCGAATCATATTATCAATATGTCCAATATCGATCAGCTTCTGACCTAGAAATAACTGTAACCCTCCAAAAGTTCAATAACTTAAAACTGCTTGTGTTTAGGAACATTGCTAACAAACTCTTTAAAAACTCGTACTTCCTTTGTGCAAGATAGCTCTAAAATGGTAAGCCATGGAAAATCATGAAAATATCTGGGAACGAAAATGACATTTATATCAATATATTAAATGATATTTTACAGAAATGACATGCAGTCTCTTGTTTACAGAGACCTTCGTGGCCATTAGCTTCTTCCCAAAAGTTTAATATCTTGGCCAAAATCATATCAGTGTAGCATTTGACATTGCATAATATAAATATTTAAAAAGTTCGAAATAAACCAAAGTCTTTGTATAATGTAAATGCATACGAAATTTCAAACGATATTTCAGCAAGTTATCTTGCAGGAACATACAATCTCCAATCAGAGCACCGTACGTTTATCAACTATGCGCGTATTTTGCTCAAGTTATCTTACAGAAACCAAAGTCTAAACGGACGGATGGGTGCTCCCCATACAATAAAAGTCCCATTGAAATTGTTGATAGGCTTATAATAGTACAACAACCTTCATATGATATTCACCACTGTAGGTTAGTTGAACCTCCAGAGCGTGTCTGTTTCACTCACATAATGTCTAATTAGTAAGCCTAGTAAACGTTTCATGACTGTTTTGGGACTAAAAATAATTAGTTTAAGTTTTAGTTATAAGCAAAGTAACATTATGTTTTCATCAAATCATTAGTGATTACCTTGTTGTTGCAGTGTTGAAATAAGTTCAACTTAAGATATGAATAAATGGTTTAAGCGTGATCGGTTAATAGTATTGTTTCTGAACATTTCTGATAGAGGCTATTGGTACGTTCAACGCAGAAAGTGATATAGACTATACACGATCCTCGTTCTGGTTTCTTGCAAGATATATTTAGTCCAGGTATTTAAAATGTGTAATATGTTCTGGTCAGAATAAACCCAGTTAGCATTTGTCGTCATATTTTTGTAACATGCTTACGCATCAATTATCTTTTGAAATTAAAGAGTTATCGATTCCGATTTAACATAAAGGACAGAATAGCGACTCTAATGACATTGTCTGAATTAAACATACAGTAGGTGTGTTAATTATGTCTCACCTTATCACTCATAACACTGTTGATAAAACCCTTTCGCAATATCCAATTATACAATACCAAAAGAGTGATTAAATTTACGACATAAAGATATTATTTCGTTTGGAACTGAAAAAATCGACAGAAATGAAAAGTATGATCGCTTAGTAATATGGTTCCGTTCTTGAATAAATACCACATAATATGTCAAAAAAAAGTTGCAATTCGTTTTAATCACTTGCTTTCCTATTTTGTTCTGTTTTCAAGTATATCATATCATATACATATGAATTTCTGAGAGAGAGTGAATAAAAACAATTAACATTCAAGACATGTACATGATAACTTACTTGCGTCTTGGCGACTGGAGCTGTCGTCTCACTGTATATCCGCTGTCTTGTCTCCCTGGTATATGATTATATATATGCACACCCCGATATTTATGCGTTTGGGGGTGTTGCTATATCCATTGGATATAATCACGTGCTCTGGAGAAGGGTTGAAAAAAGGGTCAAGAGGCGTATCCGTGTAAAATCAAATGTGCTTCAAGACAACATATTTTATCAACGTTTAGGTGGACGTCATTTATCATTGTAGTTGGCACAACATTGTCCTCCGTAACAGTCAATCAAAAATGAATTAAACATCAGTTGGTAAACAAGTTGGAGGTTAACACGTAAAACATCTACCAACGTTTGTTTATATGGGGGTTTACGTCCTCGCAACAGCCAGAGTCACACGAGGACGGGTGCCCAGGAGGACACCGCCGGAAAGACAGAGTTGATAGAAAAACGAGTCGGTTGCTCCTCTAATCATCCTATAAGGTGGCCTTTTTTCCCATAAATATCAATTTATGATTCTTTTATGTATTCTATTTTTTTTCGAACATGTGGTATATATTTAATTATGAAAGGTTTAATTAGATATGCTAGTCTGTTGGACAAAACACTTGTAAAACAAATTATTCGAAGACAGGGAAATCACTGATAACTAGATTTTCGTTAGAACACCATCCTAGTAATCAGATAATTATCGGTGTCATAGAATATACTTTTGTTGTGTCTCGGAAAAATATCATGTATTTTTCTGCGTAAGTATGATTTGTTCGTTGTACCTTTATGGCGACCATAGTTTTTTTGGAAGGTTACAATTGGGTATTCTGAGCAGGACGGTTTGTAACTAAAGGATTTTTTTCTTTTTTTTTCTCTAATTTTCACTGCATCATCATAAAGCTGACTAATATATATTTTTTTTCTTTTTTTTTTCTTGTCTTTTATATCAGTCTATTTCTAGATTTGCTTAACATCCGTTTGTTCATGTGGTTCAGTCTTGCTTTACATCGTGAATTAGAGTATATGCTGAAGAATTTTATTTGCAAACAATATTGATGTTGTTTGCTGTACATGTGTACATCTATTTATCAGTAATCATTTGTATGTGTTATTCCGGGTAGTATAATAGTATAATGTGTTGTTTTGGGTGATATAACGTATACTGGAGGATTAATACATGTTTAGTGTATAATTGATTGTGCTTAATGAAAGGCGTATGTTTATTTTAAAAATGTTTCGACATCAACTCAAGTTGGACTCAATGCAGCTACCAAATGCTACCTGTTTTGTTTGCCGATGAAATTAACCAGATTAGCATTACCTGTGCGTATGAATACATATATTCAGATATTGCAAAGGGAGATAACTATTGACATCTTTAAACAAAGACGATACCACCTGTATGAGATTTTACATTGTTATTGATGCTAAACAAGAAAGTGTTTAAGCAACCAAAAACAATAAATTAGCAAAGTATTATCAGCTGTAAAAAGCGGTTATGACAAATCATGTACTGCCCTAAAAATCTCCCTCCAGCTACACATTCTGCCTACTGTGTCAGTGTCAACCACCGGTACAAATCGAAAACAATTTGTATCACAAATTCATGTTGTCCAGTCATATATGTAATGCTGTCGAACAGCCAACTGCCATATGAAATGACGTCTGGTTTCCTGTCTTATTCGACATTTAATTACTGCTGCTTCACAATCCAGAAAATGACGAACCTCGAAATTAAGCGGCTTTCCAATTCGAGCTAGTAAAACGATAGCTAACGTTGACTCGCAGGTGAGCCTGCCGACTGCGTCTAGACATTATTCGTCCGCGATGATGCGTAAGAAAATATTACATCGAAACCTAAGAATTCATCAACAAAAAATAAATATGACATTAAAATGTTTTAGTGGTTTGTTTCACCACCATATTGTATGATGGTCCTTCAATGAAGGACTAGACTTGCAACAGCCCAAGAATCTGCAACAAACTATCAGAATGGATTTTCACATCTTCCTAAAAAGAATATGATTATTGAAACGTAAGGTTTGAATCTTGTTTGAATCAAGATTCAAGCCTTAATTGTTTGGTTCTGTATATGTATGTGTGGAAATGATACCTACGTTTTCTTATTATTTTAAATCTTGATGTGATGTGAGATTAATGATACACAACATGAACATGTAATCACTATTGGGGCCAGTGAGATACACCCTAAAGGTACCAGGACCGATGTGAAGGTTTGTGACGATGACAAGGTATCTACATTCGCGTATGTATGTTTCGATGACTCATATTGGGGCTTCACTGACAGTCAGAATTAGTATAAGTGTCTCTTTTTTAAAATTCTAGTTTTTTATGTTATATTAGCTTTGATGGTTTCTGTAAGGTATTGAAAGAAACAGAAATACTCCATTAAGCAATTCAGGTAAAAAATGTATATTGATTTACGTACAATAGTTGACCCCATAATGCACGAACGTGTCTTAATTCATGAAAACAACACAAACCATATCATTTGTATCTTAATGTAGGTCTGAGAAAGTATATGCGTGCATTACTCGTAGGGGGCGAATAAATTAAGGGATCCCTGTAAACTAGGGTTGGGAATTGGAGAAGTGTCTTCCCTCTGCATATGTATCGTTTACGACGACTAATGCGTCCATCTCCTTGCAGCTTCAGAGGTTTTGTTCTATGACTTTTACTGTATAAAAAGGATTTGGAGACGAAAAATCATACCCTGCCCCGCTGCATCACTTTGGAGCTTTTCCTTTCCTGTCATTCTTTTCTACATTCGTTCTCCGGAGGTGTGTAATTAAAGCACCCGTCCTAATCAACAAAAGAACTTCTTCTTTGATTTACCCCTATGCAAATATCTATTCTCTGTTACACGATATAATACAATATCATAGTTTTGTTATTTGAATCGTTAGCTATATATTATAATTAAAGTGACCAATCCCTCGATCTTAACTATTGGCAAACGTTACAAAATATCCTGTGCAAACTCTTGAATCCTAAACAGAATCATTTAGACCCTGGATACAAAATTTGTCGTTTTGATTCGTTTAAAATAGCTTTAGTATGACAGGAAGCTTCCGACAATACTAAACTAGGAAAAAGTGAGCGAGCTCACAAATGCATACCCTCGCTTGCGTTTACAATGTTTCTTGAGGAGAAACCAAAGTTTCACGAGTCTCATCTCCAGGTAAAATTGTTGAACCACAATTGCCTTTCTTTATGCACATTAAAGTAAAATTAACTTTCCCAAAGTCAAGTAACAAAAGCATAACAATAAACTGTTAAGGATTCCTAGAGCAGAAAGTTTCAAGAGCTATAACTCAAGGAACATTAGCCAGATCAAAAGGTAGTTTTTTCGTGTGCATTAACACACTATATACTTTCGCTGAGCTACTGTGGATATATGACGGCATAGTCTTCAATACTCCTTCATGAAATTTATAGCCTAAATCTCATACTGTTTTGGAAACATGTTATATTATTAATGTATGAGCAGAATACCATTTTATCAACAAAACAGAAGTAGCTAAATAACTATCATTGTTTACCTCGATATACAATTCATTCGTTTCTTGGATTCGGGATCACAAAATATATTGGATATGATATAAATCAAATCACCAAATTCATTTTTTTTATAGCAAACGACTTTATTTATAAAATAATAACATATGTGCTTTTTATTTTCAGTATAAAAGTAGTCAAACATCACAGCAATACTACAAGGATTATAAATACTTATTTTGAGTTAATCCTTCATAAAGAATAATATATCACATCTAAAATCGCAGCTCAACACAATATGTTTCAATGCATGCGAAAGTCTAGTAAAAGCGTTCAAGTTTGTATAATTAGTATGCAATTGTTTAATAGTCTTTTATCATCATAACAGGTCTTGTAGAAATATCCGATACAATTGATCTGATTGTGACAGAATTCACATTGATTATGTCTTTTATATAATAGTCTTGAAACAGATCAGATGCCATCCGTCATTGTGTTCAACATGCGATGCAGATTTCGGGATTACAAACATGTATCTGATAGGGCTGCTATCACGGGCGTAGAAACAGTTTGGTGAAAATTACACACATCAGCATCAGGGAAGATACTCCATGCCTTATGGATCCATTTTTGCCTGGTTGAAAAATAGGTGTGTTATCAGTTTTTGGGTTAATGTTTGATATCTTTATTTTAATTGGGAAAACGTTTTTAAACGTCAATTTTTTAAATACTCAGACCTTTCAATAGCAGATCATACACGGAATCGAAATTCACTCATAGGTTTGTTCATGTATCGTAAATCTGTCAAACATGGAATGTTTATATCTATGTTATGTTCGCTGTCTATCGTTGGACAGAAAGCGAGTACAAAACGGAATAAATATAACATTTCAACGTATTTTATTTACATTGTAACTTTAAGTATATGAGAGAAAATCAACAACAAGTGATGGTACAAAGGTGGAAATATTTAGGGTGCGATACTAATCTGATTTACATTTTGTAAATTTGAGGTTAAATAATTAATTTAATGCCAGCACTATGTTAATGCTTCTTTTTGCAAAAAAGATGAACATTTATCATATGCTATTCGATACTCCATTTAATTAGTTTTCTTTACGCTGTTATTGCCAAGTTTATGCAGATTTCATATTTAGCCGGATAATTCAAAAAATCTGTATCTTTTTAAAAAAAATACATTTCAAATAAAAATATAAGAACAAAATCGCTGTTCTGGAAAATTGGTCTGAAAATGATTGTTGTCAATTCATTTTATTCAATTTTCTTCTTCTTAACAGCATAATGTTTTCGCATTGATACACATACATGTACCATTATTTTGGAGCAAAACACTGTTTTTCAGGATTTCATAAAAAATACTATATTACCTGATCTGTTCACGTTTGGTGCCACCGTGTGATTTGCTGGTGGTGTGCCTGTGGACATGGATAGTTATTTAAAAACATTATCATATCAGTCAGCAAAAAATAAGCATGTTCATATCTAAATGCTGTTTTTGTTTAAATACAAATACATGTATCTAGCTATAGGAGAAATATCATTACTCTGTTATGTGACGCTTTAAGTATAACTCTGTTAAAAGTTTTTTTATGATATTCGATCACGCACGTCCATCGAAATCAGAGCAACGTAGTAAGATATCTTATTATCTTGGAGAAGTGGCTATTCCACGTACTACACAGACAACTTATGCTGGAATATTCTTTACATGTAACCTAAAATCAGACAGTGGTATTATCAAGTCCTGAATGTGCATTCACGCTAATGGACTTAATCCTTTAACTAGTTTTAATATAGTAAAAACTGGTGTTTATCCGTGTATGGAATCGGACTTTGGAACGCTCATACCAATAAATCTGTTGAAGATTTAAAACTCACTCATAGATATGTATGTAGGGGTTGTCTTGGACTACCGAAAACGTCATCAACTGTTGTAATTTCGCAATGTTTAGGAGTTTTTAACATTTTGATTGAGGTAGAAATTAAAAACTGCTTTTTTGGAATAAGTTGTGTTTGGGAAATGTAAAGTTTGTATGGAAGTCCTTGTTTATTATTATATTATGTTAGTTCATGTTTGGCGAACTGTCAGCTGTACAAATAGGATTTATTCCAGTGTGAATAAACTGCTAGAAGACTACGAGTGGGAAAAGCTGATGGTCAATATGTCAATCAACTTAGAAAGAATGGTGAGTGAGATGGACACATTATTGTAACTCTGTTCCTTTTTCTATTGGTGAACGCTATCTTTGTGCAATTTGAAATGTGAACATATATGTATGTATTGATTGACTTTAATCTCTTACAAAAGAGGAAATAAAGAATGTGTGTGTGTCTGTCTATTAATACGTTTTATTGCAAAAAGATGAACATTTATGATATGTTATTCGATAATCCTTTTAATTAGTTTTCTTTACGCTGTTATTGCCAAGTTTATGCAGATTTCATATTTACCCGGATAATTCAAAAAATCTGTATCTTTTAAAAAAAAATACATTTCAAATAAAAATATAAGAACATAATCTCTATTCTGGAAAATTCTTCTTAACAGCATGATGTTTTCGCATTGATACGCATACCATTATTTTGGAGCAAAACACTGTTTTTCAGGATTTCATAAAAAATACTATATTACCTGATCTGTTTGGTGCTACCGTGTGATTTGCTGGTGGTGTGCCTGTGGAAATGGTTAGTTTATTCAAAACATTATCATGTCAGTCAGCAAAAAAATAAACATGTTTATATAAAAATGTTTTTTTGTTTAAATCTCGATATCTAGCTATAGGAGAAATCTAAAATGGACTATCTACCATCCATTTTGCAGACAAACTACAGTTGTGGGACCACACAACGCACCAAAAATAGCGTGCGCACACCGTGCATACATCGTTCACACACCGTCCGCACATCGTCCACACATGGTGCGCACAACTGTGCGATTTAGCAATCGTTCGCCCCGTTGTGCGCTTCTCTCCACACAACTGTGCGATTTGGTATCATTTGTAGATCAAAATTAGGGAATGACAAAAATACGGAAGGCTCGTATGCGATAATGTACACTGTGTATATATCTGTAATTTCCCATCACAATAATCAAGATTATAACATTTCACAATGCGTGTAACACAGTATTACAGCGACCGTTAGGCTGTCAATAATGGGTTTGGCTCCAAGGTAACAGAACAGGTAAATAACAATTTTATGAGTGTCCGGAGTTTTACCTGACCAGTGCCTGACACACAGAGCTGATAGGCGATACCGTTTGGCCGTAATTAATAGTATTTGTTATTTGCATTCGTTTGCCTATACCCGGTCTTACCCGACGAGTTACGTAAGTGCCACAGGCGGGGAGAAAACTACGGTCTAGGTACATGTACAAAGTGGGTATGTTTACCTGTATACGGGATTGTGTTGTAATTTTACATGTGTCGATTAAGTTGTTTAAAAACACATAAAACACAATTTCTAAAATAAGAATGTATAGACAGAAAGATAAGTTTATAGATGTTGCTAGAATATAGAAACATACGTAAACATCAAGTTTATATGTTTAAACACGAAACCGTATACATTGTTAAGGAAATCCTCAATTTACACCAACCACGATTGTTATCGCACAACGTCCGTCCATCGTGCGCACATCTGTGCGCAAGCAATGAACGTCCAGTTTTTTATCGTTCGCCCATCGTGCACGCACCGTTCACACACCGTTCACACATAGTGCGCACACCGCACATCGTGTAACGTTGTGCGATCCCACAACTTTATAACAGATTTATTGTTTTTTCTCAACTATTTATTATCGTTGTATTTCCATATTTAAAGTTATAAAAGGACTTTCTTATGTGTTAATGGTACATGAGAACTTTTGAAGTATAAACCTGAACTCAGAACGCCGTGAATAATATAGCCTATCGCTATAGTATATATATTCTTAAATTTATGAAGCATGGTGGGGCCTTATGTGGGAGAATGTTGTCACAATTCGTTGTATTAATGTACCTTGTTTCCTAACGATTGACACTCAAATTCCAAATAGGACTAAGAGGAAAACAGTATTCATTAGAATCTTATCCTGAGCTGAATGCAGATAGTCGCTTTAGTTTAAACGCCACGAGCTTGCTGAATATACAAATGTATTTAAAGATCTAGTTTACCTTGCGAAAGTAAGGAAAAATAAAAATCGTCTGTTGTGAGGAAAAAGATATCGGAGTATATAAACGTACAAGGACATCGACTGTGATGAAGTATTTTATTAAGCAGGGTACTATCGAAAAGGAACATAATGTTTCCTACCAGACTTCGGCAAACAAATAGGTGTACATGTCCCTGTAGTTCCTCCTATTGTACAGGTATTGGCAGTTGTGCAATTGGTGGTGTTACCTAATAAATTGATAAAAGATTCAGATAGAAAGTATTGCATCATGAACAAGCTTGTTTGCGTAAACTTTGTATCACAGTTCCGTTTAACATATTCTACGATGAGCGGTATCTCAAAATGATTTCCACGTTTTACCTTTATATTGAGTATTTATTTCAGATATTATTTAAAATGGGAATCAAAAGACTTAACTCATATCTATTTTACTACCATGAAAAATGATATCATTGTTCAATATTATTATTTAATAAGGTTGGTTATTGCATAGACTGTTATTGTACTCACCACTGCTTCCTTGCGTTCCAGTATCTGTTTGGAATATATGGATGGAGTTGAAATTTTGAAATGAGTAACGATGTGAACAAAGTAATAATGTCATATTGTGAAACACAATATAATTAACTAAGAGAGTATGCAACAAAAGTTATCAAACCTTATCTAAGGTATCCAAAGCAATACATTTGCTAATGAGTTAGTCGCTGATCAATTAAAGGGAGATGACAGAAAGTAAGAACTATATGAGACTCAGTTCCAGCAGCCTCCATCTAGAAATATTTCCATATTTATATTATGAGTCAGTTTTCGAACTCCAATTTGTATACATAATTTGTAAAAAAAAAAAGAAGTTCATGTATATACATGTACTTATACATATATAATATTATGGCTTCCTAATAACCTAAATGCACTAAGTAGCACGCCGACAAATTGCAAAAACGTACGGATGCATGTCCAGCCGCAGTGTTGTGCTGTCGCACAGGTTAAAGACGTACAGTCCGGTTGTGTAGCTGTTGAAAGATATAAAAGGAAATAGATGACTTGTACCAAGTATACATGTATGTACCTCTATCTGAAATCGTGATTATTTTTATGAAAACTTAAATCTGCAAAATCCGTGACAATAAAAGAGACCAAGACATCTTTATCATTTACAGCCTCAAATAGACGTAAGCAAAAACTAATACATCATAATTATAGAAAAAACATTGAAATGTTAAAGAATGATGGCCAATATTTTTTCTTCCGTAAATTAAGATGTGTCCCGTTATTGCGACATTATTAATAAAAGGGGTCGCTCCTTACGTGTAAGAACTTTAAATGAGCGTACCTGTCACGTTGTACTTGGGGCGTTATAGATTTGCGTCGGGTCATCGGACATAATACTGGAGCTAGTGTTCAGGAGCTACACCTCGGACATATATATATTTATATATATATGTATTCAGTTGAAACGACTGTCAGTGTGATTTCAGAACTTTAACTTATAATATAATTCCCTACCAATTCACGCCGAAGACAGGACGAAGACAAACTATAACTGTCGCAAATATTGCTTATTCATAAATAACCAACGGCGACAAAAAAACAGGTATTTCATTCATTTTGAGGAAGATGGTACAGTTCAATTGAAAACGGACCGGAAGATGTATAAATACTTACGTGCAGAAGTATGGGTGTTTATGAATGAAGCATAAATCATGAAATCGGTTCAATACTATTAGAAGTATAAAAGACGCATCGTAAGGTATTAACATCTTCTCAATATGATCTTTGTGTGATTCAAGAAGCATTCAAATCGGTGCAGTATTCGGGAGGAGTATTACGAACCATGCTCTTTAGACTAAGGGACATATATCCATTAATGGGGAGGTAAATCTATCCATATACTTTATTATCATCCCCTCTTAGTAAGGGTTCTGCGTACCAACTATCAATAAAATTGGCGTGATATTGTTCAAAAGTAGAGCGAAAAGCGGGTTGTCTGCAGACAAACGGGCAGACAGACATCCCGGTTCGTTGTGGGGGTATGATAACATATCCTCCTTAATGTTTATATTTCCTTTACACAATCAAATTTCATCTCATGGTTTCCAATGTATTACAACTGTATCAAGAAGTACACAAAAACAGGCAAATTGCTAAGCATGTTTTTAAAGAGCGAAAAGTCACAACATCGTTTCATAGGGAAGTAGTATGCTTTTTTATGAGAAACCAAAAAACTTCAGTGGCTTTTAGTTATCTGGGCTATGTATAGCCAAGAAACTATTACCATGGATCTAAAATATTGTCGAATTTCTATAAAAGTTCTTTATGGTTAATTGGTATTTTGGTAATTGACCAAATGTACGTTTTAAGGTCTATAACAATATATGATGTCTGCGAGATGAGACTTGAAGGGGTGTTAAGCTTCGGCGTGAGAACATATATACATGTACATACTGTACATATAGTATCAAGCTCTTTGGGATATATTCACTGATTATTTGCATTTGATTTGCATTGATTGATAGACTGTGCATTGCTTTTTATGAGGTGTAATATTAAATTACATAGATAACTTGTTAAGCTGATCAAGCTTGAAACCTTTACTTTGTAAACAGAAAGAGCGAGCTGATAAGCGTGGTTGTGATAAAGTAGATATTTTCAAAAGTGCGCAGTGATATCAGCCTCCAAAACACAAAGCTAAGGGTGGAAGGGAGAGGGAAAGTGGGTTATCAGCATTATAAGCTTAATGTGTAGCTACAGCAGGTATTTTCATATTAATGTTTTTTTCATTAAGAAGGAGCAGGTATTTAAGCTAGTACGCCGTCAGAGTAGGCTCCAGGACCATAATTGATATAAAAGACTTTTTAATTGGGGCATGTTTGTCGTGAATGTTAATATGTAAACGTCTGCACCAAGAAATGAAGTCATTATGAAACATCGATTGTTGTAAATAAATACCCGTCCGTAGAGGGCGTCTATACAAATATATCTGCTTGTGTCGTTTTAAGTCATTTTATTTTACGTAGTGACAGTGAAAACCATAGATTCCGAGTAAAAACCAAAAAAGCATGCAGGGCCTCTAACAGCAAAATAAAAAGCAAAAGCGTTGTAGTGACAGTAAATATGTTCCCTTCACCGATCAACTTCCGAACCAGACATTTTAGCAGTGTTTACTTCACCTCAATATCTACCAATCTCCAATATTTCAACAAGTTCAATCTTCTATTCTCTAGGCAACCTTGTCAGCGAACTCTTAAAACACTACTTCCGTTGGGCAAGAAAGCTCTACAATGGTATGCTAGGCAATATCATGAAAATATTGGGGAACGAAAATGTCATTCATATCAATATATTAAAGGAAACGCTAGCACCTAGATTAGAGTACCAATTATATATCAGAAATGACGTACAGTCACTTGATTACGGGCACTGCAAAGACAGAATTGGAACCCGACAACTTGGTTCAGCAGTTCCAAGCACTCCTGTAATATGCCCAGAGAACGACGTGGCCCTTGGCTTGCTGTTTAAGATACATTTGAAATAATTCTTCGGACAGATAGTCAGAAAGCCATATATGACTCTTACATACCCCATTTTCTTTGAGGGGGTATACATACTATTAAAAATGACATCGGTGAATGATTCTGATATGACGGGGATGTAAAACAGATATGCAAAAAAGAACAACCAATCAATTAACTCTGAATTAAACCTCCATACACAGTTTGACTGAATTTAAAAAAAAATAAGAATGATGTAAGAGCCAGTTAGGATGATGCAATTTCTTACACTGTGTTGCTGCATCCCACTCCATACCCTCTTTAATATGATATGTTCACATATCGACGCCTTAAAGTAAAATAAGTTTCGATTCTGAGCTAGGTGTAGTATTAGAGCACTTGAACATTCAACTGATATACTTTCGTTCAATTAGGCTGTTCCATTTTTACCAATAAATGTATAAAACACCGGGCGGTATAGTTACATCAACCTTAATTGTAGATTAACGCGTGTAAGTGTACCACCACTATATTTTGATGCCACAGTAAGCGTGAATAAAATTAGAGATTGAAATAATATTTCATTGAAATATTGATTGTCTTTAATGCCAAGGCTGAGATCGGGAAATGAACAGGAAAATGGCCCTTTTGAAGATTTTCTTTTTGCGATTTCTTTTTTCATTTTAAATCACTCACATATATTGGTATGAAATTGGTGAACACATATCAATTTTGTCATATCTAATACGCATTGAAATATTGAAAAAAAGCCACTCTCAGACACTATTTGATTCGCGCTGTTCAATATAGATTATAACAACGCTGTACAACATCTTAATACATAACGAATCAAACTCGCAATTCGTTACTTGCTACTTAAAGTACGTACCCTAAACTCAAGCACAAAAACTTTCATATTTTATCTACATTTTCTAAACACAAATTGGTTTCAAAAGCTTCAATCATCGTTTGATTTCAATTCGAAAAAGAAAAGAATACCACCTGCTTTAGTGATATTCAATACAATTTGGCTACAAAACTTTGTTTTTGTATTTGTTTTAAATCGAAATGTTTATGAATAGGAAGTGTCTCAAAATGACATATATATTGTAAAACATAAAGGTTTGATCTGCAAAAGTGTGCAACATCTTATCAAGAAATCTTGAATCCACTCCTGAAGATATAGATTTTTGATAAACAAATACCCCAAAAAACTGTTTTCATATTTGTAATTTAGACAATTCATTGAATGTTACATTAGCATCAAGATTACTTAAAAAAATCACGATACCCTATAATTTAGAAATTTTATTAAAATATACTTTTATCGTATAAGATAAACGTAGTTTTGCCTCATTGCTATAACAAGTTGTTTTGTCCAGGTAACTTACCTCAGGTAAAAATACATTTTAATACAGGTAAGCTCATTTGTAATTGACTTAAAATCTTTCAGCAACATTGTTTTTATTTCAAAATTGGGGGAAAACTGCCGATCCATCATACTTTTAGCTGTGTGAGTTCAAGGTCGGCCATAATTGCCCTATTGAATGTATGGTTTCTCATTCGGATAATGAACGTTGCTGATATCTTTATTCGTCGATTGCTGCTTTGACCCATACATCGTATATTGTTTGATATCACGACCTACATAATGTACACTGTTTTGAATTGAAAATTACCTATCAATTTATTTGATTATTCATGTTGTCATTTCGTTTTAACAACATTTGCTATTCAAGGTTTTAAATCAGCGTACGGAAACTTAAAATCAAATCAGGAGCAGTTGGCACAAGATCGAATCCCTGCTAGTACAAAATATATATACTATTTCTCTGTTCTGTTACTTGTGAGTCATTGAGTTTTACAGTCACAGATATATTTTGAAGCATATAAATTTGGGCAAAATGCAAGAGTAAAATTCAAATCAAAACATATCAAAATTGCACATTGGTGCGGTTAATAGAATACAACGGGGATAACATCTAAATCGCACGTTTATGCGCATCATGTTCGGATGACGTGCACTAAATTTGGTGTGCTGTGTATGACCACAAATGAAACTTTACCTGTACTTTTTGCAAGTTCTTAAACGACGAAATACATAGCTTATCATGCAACCTTTATAAGTACAGGTAAATGATAGATCATGAACCTACATCATTTCCAGTTGATTCCGAAACTGCAAAATAATTCCTATAATGAACGTTTTCTTTTACTCTGCTTGCATTTATCTGATTAAAATTGTATTTTATTTCCAAACCTGCTTACTACCATACCAAATACTTTTAAATTGATGTTACAGTCGCAGTTTGACACTGGATAATGCAAACATGAAATGAATCAAATGCTTTTGAAGAATCTTAAATATTTGTCGATCAATATACCAGAACACTTTACTTTTTCTTTTCGCATTTTATACTATCACATTGTATACCAAACCGAAGGACACGAGTATATTTTTTCTGTTTTCATCATATGGACATTTCTTCCATTTAGGGTTCCTCAGAGGTCATTCTAAGGTGTTTCGAAACATATTTAGAAACACAGGGTAAGGATTATACACATAAAGTGTAATAGGCCAAAAACAAAGTTTGATACAGATAATTTTGATTTAAACTATTTGTTTATGTCAACTGTGACACAAAATATTACGTCTACAGCGTTACGGCCTAAGTCGGGGACTGAGAGTCCATCATCAGTGTCAGCTACGTTTTGACGTAAAGTAGTTACCAGAATAACAGTTTTCTAACCCCCCCCCCCCCCTCCCTACAAATAACCGAAACTGCCCCAATAGTTGCAAATATGCAGAAATAAATCTACATACCATTTGAGCATATTCGACCAATATCTAAATGCGCAGCTGCGAAAAAGGGTGTCTTACATTGTACATATATGTATCTAGGCACACTCCCAAAAACTCATGTGAAGTTTCATTGGAATCTAACAAATAGTTTCTGAGAAGACGCTTCGTTTGGGGGACTTAAGTAAAGAAAACAATGTTTACTTACCACAATGAACTACAGTCATAGTCAAAACAAAAATAAGGCATACCATGTACATGTTGGCCTGAAATATACAAATATGATGATATATACATATGTTTGTCAAAAGTAATTAATGTTATATTGTTAATATGGCAATAATAACCTGGCATTGCTTGCTTGGAACCAATTTATCAACTTTTGCTGAAAGTAGAGTATAAATACATACCACATCTGAGCACAATCAGAGCACGAATTAAACCTGCATATTTATTCATTAGATGTTGGTGCAATTTCATTTTTAATACTGTGTTAACTGAGATTGTACAATAATTTTGCAGTTCATGCTCAAGCAATATTATAACACGATTCGTTTGCAACGCTTGTTTTGATTGGATACAGACCATGTTCTAATCTGCGATAGAATCATGATCAATCGTGTTAAGCTCCTCACATCGCACTTAAGCCACGTCCCGTTTCTAACCAAAACAATATGGCGTCAAGCTCGCCTATTAGCGAAATCCCGCTGATAAGGCTAGCAGGCAACAGAACAGAAACGACCGATGAAATGTATTTGTTGAATGAAGTAAAAAGTAGAAAGTAAATATTCCTTGTTCTTACCTCCATTTATTAATGAAACGTTCGTTCCATCCGTGTGAAGGCATCTAGTTAGATCCGAAATCAAATGAAACATTTCACATGTGTCGTATGAATTTACACAAAATTCTTCACAAACCTATACAAATAATCACCGATTTTGTAGATAAGCACATATTGGTAAGCATACTGACATGGAAATGTAAGAATTTGGTCAATATTAATCCAAATGTGTCGTATACACTTTGGTAACAGGACGTTCACGAACAATCCAAATATTCCGCCACGTCAACATACAGATCGATCGCTCGCTAGTATGGGCTGGGCCAAATGACCGACTTTTGAAAGCTTCTTTCCGATTGGTCAGTCCGCTGTAGAATGACACGTCGCCAGTTCGGGTCATAAAGTACTTTACTACGTACTTTTGTACAAGGAAATACAATGTTTGTAAAGGTGTGTTAGAATGGGGATAGTACGTTATTTTTCGTGTCTATACTGGCGATTAGAACATGAAATTTGGTTTAAACTCTCGACATATCGGTCTCGAGTTCAAACAAAATTTCATGTTCTAATCGCCAGTATAGCCACTCAAAACAACGTACTATCCCCTAATTATTTAAAGTTGATATGAAAAAAGTACTGTATTTCATATGAAATTAATAGAAATTCTTTAGCAATCACTGTATATTATGGATGGTTATATAACTGGAGATGGGATTTACATTATTTCACATAATCATCTTAGAATCTTGTACGTTTAACTAGATACATCTATTCCATTGATATTATTTTTTTTAAATTGCTCATATGATTAATATAAAATTAATTTCTATATCGACTGGATTATTCCTAGTTTCTACCTGCCTACACGGGATTATTTTCTTAGAGGATAAAAGCGGTTAGCTATACAGAGGATCTCAAAAAGGTTTCCGTTTGATATGAGATTGATAAAACGAGTTGAGAATGTTTTAATTTTGTGAGATGCTGTTTATCATACATGCATGACGTGAAAACAAATACAAAACATCAGTTTTTAATTCATTTGTTTTTAATTCCTTCTTTATCAATTGTAACCGATGCACGGCTATAAGAATATCCTTCAACAGACTGCGATGAGACGTAGTTCCTAAAACTGTACTTAGTGTCAACTCATTGTATTATTTCAATTGTCTGTTTTAGTTTAACTTTGTTAACTAACATTGCAGGTACGTGTTTGTTAGTTTGCAAATGAGGCAATGCTTTCAACACAACTACCTAAAACATGACAGTCGCGTCATAGCAGAAAGCCGCGTCATAGCACGCACATGTACAAAATCTAGGTCACATTTGTTTCAAAGCCGGACTAGTCACTGCTGCTATCTGAAACGATTCTTATCCGTTTAATGGCTCTTGGATGACTGATGTCCTCTTTTGGAACCAGATTGATGTGGAAGTGTTCCCCATACACATTACCACCAAACATTGTTTGAAGACCTCCGAGAATATTCATTGATGAGGCCGTGCTCGTAGCTGTATTTTGGACCGCGGTGTTGTTACAAGTCGGAGTCAACTGATTCTGTTGACATTGTTTTCGGGCAAGAGCCATGGTTTGGATAATATGCGCGAAATCTCCTTGTGCTGACCAGAGTTATGGTGACTGTACTTATTTGCAGATTGTATATTCCTATGACCCGTTACCTGCATGATTTGGTAGGCTTGAAGCAACTTCTACGAATCGTAGTAAACAACAGTTCTGTTGACAGACTACGCCACGCGTATAGACACACACGAAATGAGAATTGACTGCCACAAGCAAAACCCTCCAAGTTGTTCTTATTCATGTACGTGTGTTCATAACACAATTTATGTTATGAATGTTATAACACTCATACAATGTAACAGGGTAGTCATTTTATAACTTTTTTTATAAAATCAACGCGTTATCAGGGCTCCATTTAAATACATTTTTTATATACGTTATTGTTGTTCATTTGTAAATATTTCATTAATATTACAACAATAAGCATATATATATTGGTCACTTTATGATTTATAATATATATATATATTGTGATAGCGAAACTAGGGCACACACACCAGCTAACACAAACCGGTTTAAATAAATAGACCTTAACCTGCTCTCTCGTTCACATTATCTGTGCCTCTGTGATCAGTAATCCTTAATGATTTGTAATAATATTCATAAGAAGGGCTATGCAATACTCGTAATGTCTAAACATAGTCGATAACGTTTTTGCAATACACTTTAATATGTTATCCGAAAAAATGCCAAAAAGTTTGTTTTGATGTCCAATAAGGTTTAAAACATCGGCTTACGTCTAAAACCATTAACAAAAATGAAAACATCATACATTTTCAGATTTTAGCCGTTCGCATACCATATTGTGGGTTATTTTAATTTGTTTATTTGGAAAATTCTGTCATTTGGCAAGCACTTGAACCTTACGATTGCATAGATGTTACAGTAAAATACGTTAAAACTATATCTCATAAATGTTTGTGTTATATTACAATGTATCTGGTAATTGCATACATGTACAAAATATACAATGAATATACCTGATTGTATCATATGCATTTAATTGTCTTTGATCATTTGCGGTATAGGAATTTAATAAACCAGAAACAAATTCAAAGCATGTGTATTGATGATTTTTTTTTTATATTTGAGATTTTTAACTCAGCTTTAATTGTTATTCCAAAGGGTTATAATTAACTCATATATTAAAGCCAATATTAGTATGTATCTAAATATTTCAAATAATTCAATAAGATTTCAAAGAATCAAACGAAATAACTGTTTGACGATATGTAATTTAAGAAAAACTTTCTGATAGATAATATAGTAAAACAAAATTTTGTTGTTCTTTATTAAAGCGGTTGAAACTTTAGATGCGCAATAGTGATAACAATATCAAAAAATAGCAAAAACCTATATAGTTAGAGGTATAATTGAGTAAAAATCTTATAATGATGCTTATACATACCATGTTGAGTGTTCTGTTATTCACCTGCAAGTGTGGGTGTACACCAATGAGACAGGGTTTATATATCAGGTGTGACATGATTGTTGATATATTGCCTTGGAAACACGCCCCACACTTCACATACGACTGATTGATCTTAAGTTAAGCTTCATTCCATTCAAGTCATAAACTAGGCATATGTCACAAAATACATCCATAGGAATTATTTCCAATATCTACATAAACAAACGGCTCTTGCGAGAAATTGACTTAACTAAATGAAAAATATAATTCCTCATATTATATTTGCAAATATTGGCTATTTTTTATCCTCAAAAACAGGAATACATTGTACAAAGTCATTGCTTATGATATATAATCAACATCTGAAAACACGTTTTAACATATTTCAGTAGTACGGTTGTTTATTTATTTTATTATGTGATACATACGAAAGTTTGTTTGTAATTAAGATAAATTGAACAGAAAGATATAGTTGAGTGTCTGTATATAGTTGAATGGCTGTGAACCTCTTTAACGTCAATCATTTTTGATTGTCATATTTGGACAGAAATCGTGTGATTTGATGTCTGCCTAGGGATAGAAATATCATGACTTCGAGACGTCCTATAAGCAATGCGTTTTACTGTAATTGGTCCACTTTTGAATCGTTAATGTAACGTGGTATTTAAGCATTAGGTTTAATACTTCTATTTACAGTTTAATGCGTTTTTGTCCTTAACAAATAATTACGATATGAAATATTTTAATATCCCACCAATATCCTCTGTGATGCTGTCCTGTTTGAATAGCCCCTATGCACGCGCCTTTTCCTGTGATGGAAATTGCCCAATATAGTTCGTGAAAAACAACAAAAATAAGAGAAGTTTTATATCAATTTGTACAGTTTTACTTGACACTGCTCATTAACATCGCACGTTAATTACGTCACACCGCGGAGGCATGTTTGTGAAATTCACAAATCAATATATCGGTCGCGGTGAGAGAACATGTCGCCATCAAGTTATTTGTCGAAACTGAATTCACAATTGTTGCATGTTGAGCTGGCAAAGAACCCATGAGTGGGCAATATATTGTTAGTAGACTGCATTGTGAATGCAGGAAAAACAGACCTATCTTCATTCGTTGTATTCGAGCCGTGTGATACCGAAAGCGACATTTCAGACGAAGCGATGGAGGTTGATCTACAGGACACGAGGGTGAGGGTCTACAAATGGCGGACAGCGAGTTACTGTGTGCTTTCTTTGGTGTCGAAGACACAAACCGGTTATATAAACGAAAACATGACTCGTTTCTGTGGTCGGACATAAATATTATGTGTCTGGCTTGAAAAACTTCATGGTCAAATACTTAATAGCTGTCGCACGTAAGCAGTGTGGTTTGTGTGTTTTCGCTCGACACCAGCAGATTTACAGGTAGAAGACAGCATTTTTTCAAATGATCGTGTACCAAACGGATGTACTTAACGGAAGGATCGTCGATTCTTTAGTGTATTGGTTGAATAAATGTGTGGCCCCGGGGTTGGTTTTCTCGATCTAAATCTTCAATATTTTGACGGGACAACATTGCGACTGCGGCTCTGCATACATGCTTATTCACCGCTCTCATTGTGAAATATGAACGAGTTAAAATGCAGTTGTTGGTGACATTATAGGCCCCTGGACACGAAGTGCACGGATAAATTATACCAAACTGACTGTCGGAGGTTAATTGGATTTGTGGTCGATAAATCGAAGTAAGTGGATATGTTTTCAGATCTTCAAGTTCAATAATTGGTTTGTGTTTTGTAGGTTCGATTGACCAGTTTTTGTTAGCTCCCTCAGTAAACCGTTGGCTGTTTTAAAATCTTTGTCCCTGACTATATCTATGTTTCTTTGTAAATCCGCGAGATGCCTATTAATCGCCCCGCGGATATTGATTATAGTATTTTTGTGGTATGGTTTCATCGCCAACGCCTGCTTTTTGGGGTCTCGCCCCACAGTAGAACACTTTCAAGGCTGTAGCTAGTGTTTGGATATCTGCATCTGCCGTGTCCATCTGTTGACCATTGACCTCGATGTTCCAGTCTGACAGGAGAATATAAGGACCTACCGTACAGAATGGGCAATTTTGTGTAATGATCGAAACAGTTATTTGCTTGCTTACAAAAAAATGCAACATTTGATTTGTTTTGATGTTTATGCAATATTACAGTCATCAAACCTACAGCAGCTGTACACTAGTCCGGAATTTAATTTGTTTTAAATTGATCATAGAGGCTTGTGGGAGATGTTATTCTTTTAACGTTGCAGATCTCGATGTTTACAAAGACTATGCCTAAGATTTTAATTTAACTTTTAAAATTGTATCTCGTGACCTACTTACACTTTAAAATTTCCGAAATGACATAACTTAATAGACTCGTAGGCCTAGTCGTACCGACATGTTAAGGTAACTGTTGGCCTATCTTGGAATAGCCTCAGGCCCAAGGCTGTGTTTATTTTTGTCGCTGGCGCTTGTCCCCTTTCAAACAATTTCTGTATTTCATCGCTGTTAACAGTTTTAACCCGTTTCTTTGGTGGCATGCATGTCATCTCCGGTTTTGGTAGATGATCTATTGCTGCTCTTGTGAGCTCTTCCTGCATTTGTGAATGCTATTTTACTGTCGGTAGAGTTGAAACATCGGGTAAACTGTAAAATTCTGACATGTCTATACTCGACAGAAACAAATCGTCACTTAGCTCGAAATTTTCAAGTCTAACTTGATCAAAATGTGGCAGTTCTACCAAGAAATCGCCATAAATGTGATTGTCCGCTATGTCCGAATCCAATGCATGTAGCAGACGACAGAATTCAATCTAATTCCTTTTTATCGCTGAAAAGAAAATCGTGAAATTTATTTTCGTCAAAATTTCACACAGAAATGCTATTTTAAGGAAATTTAATTATTGTTACCATGGATTCGTGTGTTTACAATACAACCTCTCGTCTAGAAATCCTAAACGAGAGTCAAACGTGGCTTCCGCATTGTTTGTTTACTTTAAGGTTGCGTTCATACACGTATTACTACCCACTTTCGGCTCATATTAATATGACCGTTAACATAGTGTCATTGCAGCACAAATGTAAATATTTCGATATGATTATATATTACGCTACAATTGTGCGTGATCCTTTGGAGTGATTAAATTTGTATTTATTGATACAGACAAGATTTATCGGTAAAACATAATGTTGATGTGTTTGTCCGAATAAGTGTCAGTTTAAAATTCGCCCATGTTTATACTATTTGCATGCACATTAGGTTTGTTTCTCTACATATAACAGTGGCGCAACGCCAATTAAGTACCCAAGTATTGTAGCCAAGTATAATTCCATTAGTGTAGTGTCAACGCTCACATGTACACTATCATTCATATAACATTAAGCTTAATAAGCTTTGTTTAAATAGGAGCAAATTATCATTTCAATACCTATGATGCAAAGAGTATAATGAAAGTTGAAAATGTCTGAGTTACCGCCGTAGTACAAGCGATGATTGGACAACTTAACATATTATGCATCAATGAGTTATACCCGAACTTAAATAATCATTTTATAAATTGCTTATTGCAATTTAATAAAAAAACAGAAAACATTCCCTTTTAAACGTTTTTAATAAACATTGGTGTACACTAGCTAATCTGACTATACTTGTGGTCTAGTATGGCTAGTAACACTGTTTATGTAAACTTTCTCTAAGAAATGATCGGATTACGCAATCTTAGAAACAGGGATCCTGCTAAATCGTGTTTATTTACTTTCTGAGGGGAAGGTATCGACATCATAATAACAAACCTTACATCGAACCGTATATAGAACCGTCATTGTTCATAATGCTAAAGTTGAAATAGAATGTTTTAGCTTTCATAAGAAAAGTACAATAAAAATGTAACATTATGCTAATTTTATTTCCTTTATATTCACAAATTCAAAATCAATGCGGTACACAATTGAGATGTACCTTTTTGTACCAATGAAGATGGATTTATGGCATATTTCATTTAAAAAAAAAATAATAGAAATATTTTGGTTATTACTGACAAATAAGTATTGTAAAAAAATGATTTAAAAGTGATCATTTATCTATTTATGTATTATATTTTGTCGTTTATTTTCGTAGTGGCAATATATCTGTGTTATATGTTGTGATATGTAAGTGTTCATGTTTCCGTTTTGAAAAGGGGAGGATTGACCTGAAAATGTGACAAATTCCTTTGTCTTTACTGTCGTTATTACTTTTATGCTAAAAAATGTATTACTTGTATATATACTCTGGCGTTTAAATAAATGTGATTTCGTTATGCTTATTATATCATTAGAAGCCGATTAATACTTTTTACAACATTGCCTATGTGCGTAAGTATGCATGCATGTATGCATGGGTGTATGTATGCATGCATGCGTGTATGCTTGTATGTATGTGTGCCTACGTGCGGACATACATGTATGTAGGTATGCATGCATGTATGAATGTATGCGTGCGTGCGTGTATGTATGTATGTATGTATGTATGTATGTATGTATGTATGTATGTATGTATGTATGTATGTATGTATGTATGTATGTATGTATGTATGTATGTATGTATGTATGTATGTATGTATGTATGTATGTATGTATGTATGTATGTATGTATGTATGTATGTATGTATGTATGTATGTATGTATGTATGTATGTATGTATGTATGTATGTATGTATGCATGTATGTATGTATGCATGTGGGTATGTGTGTATGCATGCATGTATGTATGTATATATGTATTTATGTATATATGTATTCATGTATGTTATGTATTATGTTATATATGTATGTTAAGTATGTATGTATGTATGTATGTATGTATGTATGTATGTATGTATGTATGTATGTAATACATGCATGATAAGTTTAAGTGCATGTATGTTTGTGTTTATGTACACATGTATTTGTACTACTATGTATTACGCTAAAATGTATATGGTTTTCTCTATGAAAAAAAATAAGAACAACTGAAAGTTTTGT